TTAGAAACGTCCAACAAATTATACTGGCGCTATGTTCTACATTGAGAAAATTAGACAATAACACAGATTAAAGCATTAAAAACAAATCAAAAATTCGAAAAATTAAATTTTTTTACTGATACTTTGAATTTTATAGTTTGAATTCTTGATCGTAGAAGAAATTTAAATAATCAGACAAATTTTAGATAGAACTTACTTCGATTTGCAGATTGACGACGGAAATTTTGCTAAAACTTCGATTTGCAGATTGACGCAGAACGATTTTGCTAACACTTCGATTTGCAAATTAACGCCGGAAGATTTTGCGAATACCTCGATTAACGCCGAAAGATTTTGCTAATATTTCGATTTACAGATTGACGGCGAAAATTTTCCTAATAACTCGATTTGAAAATTAATGCCGGAAGATTTTGTTAAGTTTTGCTAAAAGAAGAATTTAAGGTGAAGTCGCGTAAATTAATACAAAAAGCAGGGGTATTTTAGTCAACAAAATGTTACCGCACTAAATTAGTGGCTAAATATCGTTGACCGGTGATTATGTGGCTACATTTGATTGACCAGGCGAAAAACTGGCCATTTTTGAATTTTTCGCGGTAAATAAAGGAGAGTAACTAGGGAGAAATTCAAAAATAGCCAGATTTACTACTGGTCATTGAAAAATAGCCAAGTTTCAAAAGTCATCGAAATTTAGCCACTTTAAATCTGAGCGAAAACACTGTTCAAAATCCGGAAAAATACGCCCGCAAATTTTACAGGAGTTCCAGCATAAGTATGCTTGAACTCCCATAAATTTTACGGGAGTTCCAGGATAACTATGCTGGAACTCCCGCAAATTTTACGGGAGTTCAAGCATAATTATGCTGGAACTCCCGCAATTTTACGGGAGTTCCAGCAAGTATAATTGTCCAGTATAATATACTGGAGTTTGGAGCACTGGTGCTCCAGTCTCCCGCAAATTTTACAAGAGTTAGCAAAGTATATCGGTCCAGCATAATATGCTGGAGTTCGTACACTAATGCACCAGAACTCCCGTATATTATACTGGACCGGTCCCTGTTGCAGCAAAATAGTGGCTATTTTTCATTGACTTGATAAACGCTGTGTGACGACCCAAAGGGTCATCACCTGTTTCCTCATTCATTCTGTGCTTCCGAGGCCTTGAAAACCTCATTTTTTACATGCCTCGATTTGCGTGCGCAGTCCGGGCGCGTAGCCGGAAAAGCTTTTATGTTGAAATATATGAATTCTGTGAAAAATTTGAAGAATTTTGATATTAATATGTTTAAGGTTGACTTCGGTCAACATTTTTGGTAAACGGACCCGGACCCGAGATTGGACGGTCCCGGAAGGTCCGTAGAAAAATATGGGACTCGGGCATGTGCTCGGAGTCGAATTCCAAGGTCTAGAGCCCGAGAAATGAATTTTTCTGTGAAATTGTTTTTCTGAAATTATTAAGGAAAATGGAAATGAAAATTTATTAAAAGACTGTGATATCGGGCTCGTATTTTGGTTCCGACGCCCGGTACAAGTCTTAAATATGTGTTAAGCGCTTTCTGTAAAGTTTGGTCGAAATCGGACGTCGTTTGACGTGTTTCGGACCTAAATATCTAAAGTTTGAAGTTTATGAAGTTTGAAAGGAAAATGATGATTTTGAGGCTTGATCCAATGATTTTGAGGTTATTTTGGCGATTTGATCACTCGAGTAAGTTCGTAAGATGTTATTGAGTTAGGGTGTGTGACTGGTTAGGAGCCCCGAGGGCTCGGGAGTGTTTTCGGAGGTGTTCGGGGTGGTTTTGGACTTAGGATGATATCAAATTTTCTGCAATTTTTAGACAGGGATTTCCTTCTTCGCGATCGCGCTCTTCCCCACGCGATCGCATAGCACTGAGTCGTCTTCCTTCGCGATCGCGTCTTGAACCACGCGATCGCGTAAGCCAAATCCTTGGACCCCCAGTAGTTCTTCTACGCGATTGCGTAACCCTCCACGCGATCGCGATGACCAGTCAGTGGTACCCTTCGCGATCGCATCCCTATTTCCGCGATCGCGTAGGGCAATTTTGCCCAACGAATTTTTAAGTTAAAAACAGAACAGTAGCACGGGATTTTTCATAAAAACACACGAAACCCTTTCTTCTCCAAGCACTTAGGCGTCCATTGAAGCTCCCTTTCATCAAAACTTCTTGGGTAAGCATTGTTCAACTTGTTTCCTTCAATTTCCTTCATTAATTAGTGAATTCCTAGCCCTAAAAACATGAAATCAAGGTAGAAATTATGGGTTTTGGGTAGAGTTAGGGTTTTGAGAATTTTGGGTGATTCAACCTCAATTTGGGGTCGAATCTTAAAACAAATTATATATTTGCACTCGTGGGGTTATGGGTGATCGGGTTTTGGTCCGAGCCTAGAGTTTGGACCATGTGGGCCCGGTGTCTAATTTTGGTATTTTTGGAATAATGCTAGAAAATTCATATCTAGGCTATGAGAAGTTGCCATTGAGTCTTTATTGATATTATTGAATTAATCATGCCTAGATATCACTGTATCGGAGTCGAATCAGAGGAAAAGCGATAGTTGAGGTTAAGTGATTTCAAGGCACCGAGGTAAGTGTTTGGTTTAACCCTAGCTTGAGGGAATAGGAGTTGAGTCTTGTTGCTAATTGCTATGTGATCGAGTACGATGTATAGGCATGGTGACGAGTATCTATACATTGGTGTCTAGCATGACCGTGAGTCTTAAAATGCGATTATCATGAACTGATTGTGAACTCCATGTTTATTGGAGTATTTCTATATGTTGTGAACTACATGTGAATGATGATATGATAATTTGATTCCTAGGAGCATTGGCTCGAATTGTGATACGAATATTGAAAGTATACGAAATGACTTGATTCTTTGGAGCGTTGGCTCAAAATAGTAAAGTGAATTATAAGATAAGGAAAGTAAGAAAGAGAAAGCGTTGTTGATCATTCCCTTGTCGGGACGTTTGGTTGAACTTGTTGGATTCTTTCCCTTGCCGGGATGGTTGTCAAATATTTGCTTATTTTATGCCCCTTAATTGTGACTGTTGTTTGGGAAGTCAGACTGTTAAATGATGTTGAGGATCGGGTTGCGCGCCGCAACAATGATGTTGAGGATCGGGTTGCGCGCCGCAACAATAATATATGAGGATCGGGTTGCGCGCCGCAACAATGATATATGATAAGTGATATGGGTCGGGTTGCACGCCGCAACAATGATATTGTGGAGCGGGTTGCACGCCGCAACAATGGTAATTATGGAGCGGGTTGCACGCCGCAACAATTATTGAGGCTATGTGTTTACATTTGAGTATTGATTCCTTGTTCACTGTGAACCTAAGTTGCTTTAGTTGTTACTCTGGATTATTGTTATTATTGTAACTCCCCATAGCATGTTTCCCCTCCCATGTTGGTAATTGCTTTGTATTCGATTTCCGTTGTATATCTATAACTGCACAGGTTTATGTGGTGTCCAGTCTAGCCTCGTCACTACTTCGCCGGGGTTAGGCTAGACACTTACCAGCACATGGGGTCGGTTGTGCTGATGCTACACTTCTGTGCATTTTTGCACAGGTCCAGGTTTTGAGGAACAGCAGCAGCAGTAGTTCGGAAGCAGGCGATTCATATTCACGAGACTGAGGTAGCTTTGCAGGCGTCCGCAGGCCCGGCGTCTCTTCTCATTGTTTTCTTTTAGACTGTTGCCTCCTTGTTTCGAGACAGACAGCTGTTATATTTCTTTCAGACCTTTGTATTTAGTTTATTCTTAGTGGTTCGTGAGTAATGTGACACCAAATCTTGGGTAGAGGTTGTTTTTGACTATTCCGCGTTTTAAATTCATCATTTTAAGACAGACTTATGCTATTGTTCTTATTAGACTTTATGTTCTATATTGATGTTATAAACTGTTAAAGATAATTGCTAGTGATGGAAAGGTAATTAAGTTGGCTTGCCTAGCTACCACGAGTAGGCGCCATCACGACTCTGATGGTGGGAAATCCGGGTCGTGACACGCTGGCTATTTTTCATTGACCAGTGTGAAAACTGGCTATACCATGATATTTTAACGAGTAACTAGATTCGTCTTAAATATATCAATTTAGTAATACATGTTAGATGATTACATATAAAAACTCAGATATTATAGCCATTTTATATAAGTTAAATTGATAGAAGCAATAGAATTATATTTTCCTCGATCTACACGTTTTCACCAGAAAACGATTGATTGAGATTGTTTCTCGGGTGAATTCATAGGTTATTACCACTATACTACCGAAGTTTGTACTATTAATACACACACAAAAAAGTGTCATTTATTGATGTAAAATGATGTTTTAGTCAGCTAATCTCCAAGGATCCTGGGGCATGTAACATGTTAAACATTAGTATTCCTACTTCTATTCAATTTAAAGTAAGATAAGATGCTGACTCCTGGGGCATGAAACATGTCAAACATTAGAAAACCTATTTATATGTAGTTTAATTTTAAGATACACCTTTTTTTTCTTCCAAAATCAATACTTTGCGTTGCAACAGCAAAGAGAGTTTTTAACAGACGTGATCAAGCAATCATTTCTTTATTGTATGATACTAATTCAACCGTCCAAATTCTTATCCTGCTAATAAAATACCTAATAACCAAAAACACAGATAAGTCACACAGCCTCCCCCAATCCAAAAGAAAAGAAAAGTAAAAAAAGAAAGAGTAGAGAGCAAACATTAACTTGTAATGTACGTCAATTCCATATAGTATATCGCCCGATGTATTACCTTTGCCGGTGAACAAAAGCCTAGGGGCAAATGACCAATATCTACCATGCCACTATCCTTGCACTTTGAGCATCTAAAATATTTTTCATCAATTAAACCTGTTGCTTTTTTATCAAGAACATACAAAAAACATCCATGATTCTTAAAGGGATTAGCACTGCATCACACTTAATATGTGATTCTACTCGGGTATTCTACTAGCAGGCAGCAGCTGTGAGATCAAAACCATGCAACAGCAAGGCAGTCAATAATTATGTTTCCATTAGTAAGTTGCAACAAACGAAACCGGTAGAATACAGTAAGGAAAAAATCCCCACAGGATATTATATGGGTAGAAAGCCTCTCCAGGATTGAAAATGAGCCACAACCTACCAAGAGCCTAAAAGAAAAAAGAGCTGAAAATAGCAGTTAATTGGGGATACCTCCATCAGGAAGTTCCCAATTATCTCCATCATCGTCATTCCTCTTGTTCTTGGATGTCTCTTGCTTATCCTGTCCAAAATTTCTTGATGGTGGTAGCCCACGTCTGTTCCAGTGAAGGACGTGAGGTTGATAAATATGCACAAAAATTAGTAAATTCAAAACATCTGTTTCGCATCTTAGTGTAAGTTGGTTTCATAAGATTTGAATTAGCAGATAATGCACTCGAAAGAGCAACTTCCACAAAGCTCACAGATTAGTAACCTTTGGATCTCATACATCGCAAATCAAGCAAACGCTACAGTGCATAAATGATCCACAATCTACATAGCTTTTTCCTTTCAAGATTAAATGAGCATAATCTTTGGCAAGAAACACAGGCTAGTAGAACTAAACTCTAATGTCAGAAGCGCAAGAAACATAGAGCACATAGTGTAAAGGTTGTCTTTACAGTGGCAAAGATTTCAACTTTGAATCTTTCAAAATCACTTGTGGTGCATATTTAGCCACCTCCTTCAAGCTAATGATACGATAATTAGATCGAGCACAATGCAGCTTAACTAGAATTCCACCTATCTACGGTCAATCAATTATCATTGTCAAATTAACTGAAGCTGTATGAATCCTCTGTATCCATTTTGCTCTATGTCAGTATCAGAAGATTCATCATAGTTAGACTATTGCAATGGCCATCAACCTACCTAATCATCATCCTTAATCCAGACGTGGACTGACTATACTTTACCAATCGCGCTTTGACAGAGTTAAATTGCATCTATCTACGCATTCAAATAATACACAGGAGCCCAAACAAGTTCAATTTCCTCTGCTTGTATTGTAGTAAAATATATCTACAAACAATTATGTCATTTAATAGGTAATCACAGTTAAATCTTTTCATAAACATCAACTGGTAGTAATTAATTGACCTGCTATCAGTGTATATAACTTAAATCCTTCTACCAAAACTACACTACGTCACTACTCTACTAACGAATTTTAAGCGAAGTAAAAAACGTAAAAACGCTCACAAAACAGAGAGTAAAAAAGGGAGAGGAGATAATCATTAATTACCTTCGACGATTACGCTTAGCAGCCTCACGGGTCTTGCGCTTATCTTTGTCTTGTGTGTTCTCAAAAAACCTCCTTCGCTTACATTCCTGAATAACTCCAGCTCTCATCACCTCCCTTCGAAAGCGACCAATAAGCTTCTCTTCGTGCTCATTATCATCCACAATTACCTGAACATTGTAAGCCGATCTGAAGAAAAGGGTGCTCGCGTAGGCAAGAGATGGGCAAACTACGGAAGTAATATCAGAATTTGAAGACGATGATGATGATAATGGTAAAGGGTTCGTGTGGTTATTATGGTCGTTGGTTGAGATAAGAGGTAATAAATTACCCTCCTGGTTGGGGCTTGAAGAAGAAGAAGAAGAAGAAGAAGAAGAGAGGGAATCGGCGGAGAATTGGAGGAGAGTAGTTTTGGGGGTGGGTGGTTTTGAGGTAGTGAAGAAGGAGAAGAGATTGGCTATGGATGAGACTGCCATTTGAGAGTATAGAAATGGCTCAAACGAGCTTTCCCTTTTGGATAGAAGGGGCTGACACAAATAACTGAAAACACCTTTTTTCTTAACTACGTAAATAATTCTGCTCCAAAATGGGTCCAAACTTCTAATGGGAGTAACTCCTTTTTCTGGTCCGTGAAACTATCTAAAGGAATTTTTTCAATTGCAACTTTTAAAGATACCAGTAATGATCGAACTTTATACATCTTTTAGGATCGTTTGGTTATAATACGGTTTATTATGCCGGAATTAGTTATCCTGCTATTATTTTTTATCACTGTATTAAAAATAACAATTGCATAATTTCTAAGAAGAAGGTATAAGTTATCCCGGCACTAATTACCCCACCCACTACAAAGTATAAGATATCCCGGTACTAATTTTAATCCTGGAATAACTTATACCAGGCTTACTAACCAAACAAAATATTAAGGTAGTGTTAAATTTTATACCACCACTATATCTACATATACATCATATCAATTTACCCCTTAAGATATAAGGTTTAGCTGACTAGTAGTAAAAAAATTACTGCTAATTCATAACCTTACACACCTCAAGCAATAATTTACTTTTTAATCTTTTCTATTTTCGTTTTATTGGTGAAAAAGCTTAGAGTAAGAGATTCTTTTGTCAAAATCAGTAGTTGAGTCAGAAAAGATGAAGTTTGGACTATGGACCTGAACTATATCTAAAAGGAAATACAGGACATATAACTTTTTAACGAACAGAAAACAATAACAAGAACAAGATTGTTCTGAACAACAAACCCAATTTGGTCTCATAAATGGGGTTTGGGGAGGGTAGTGTGTAAGCAGACCTTACTTCTACCTCACAGAGATGGAGAGATTGTTTCCAATAAAGCATCGGCTTTAACGAACAGAAAAGAGAATGGAAAACGGGAATATCACACAACTGACACTAGTTGTGTGAGACAATTTTCTTGTGAGATAAAACAAAGCCTAATGTCAGTGGTGTGAGGCACAAAATAAAAATTCCACGGAACACAAAATCAAGATTATCATGAGGATTACATATATTTAGAAGATGTCATTGAAACACATAAGATCTTACAAAATGTCAGTTGAATAACAATGTAATGATCAACTGAAACTCTTTACACGCAAATACAGAGATTCAAGAGACTCTAAAAAGAACAAGAAAAAAAAGCAAAAGACTGTAAAACGAACACGAAAATAGAAAAATGTCCTAGAAAGTCCTTGAGTATTTTCTGATCTCATACATTATCGATGAAATTGAAACAAGATCTTTGTTCAAGTTAGACCCACCATTTATCCTCTTTATACAATCTGAAAGCCTCGTATAATAAAGAAGAAGTTGAGTTAATGCAGCTCTTAGAATGTCCATTCCACACAGGAAATTGCTGAAAGAAGTAATGACATCATTGTGCATAAGTTCAACTGCAGCTTTCCATCTGCTTGCAAAGTCCTTTACAATCGGCTCGACTTCAGCAATAGTTATAGGCCTTTCAGTGCCAATACTTGGATCCTCAGCTGCAATAAGATAATATTCAGGGCATCTGAGAATGTGGGGATAAATTGATATGCATAGTTAACACTTACACCCTCTCGCCTTTACAAACTTGATAAGATCGCTAAAATGCTCCAATAGCAATTCTTCCTGCAATAAAATCAAACATAAGAACAAACCCTTCAACTGAAGTTTATGATTGTAAAATGCTCGAATATCAATTGTAGAATCAGGTAAAACAGGTTTGACATGAAAATTGTTCAAGAAATCTCCTACATATGTTGCTCTTAACGTTAATTAGAAATCCTACTTATGCCATCCGCAATAAGAAAACTCATCTAGGAAAAGGTATCCACTGTTCGTGATTGCAATCAAGAACAAATATTTCTCGTAAATCAAGTATCCAACAGCAAATATAGATGAACTGTGTTACTGGTTCAATCTATTTCAAAGCTGATATTTTCTGGAAGGACATAATGAAATTTTTTTCAACATATCACTAAGTCTACTTTAGCACCTAACTGATAGTCAAAGCAATAATAGAAGTGAGGTTCATTTTTCTCAGAGAAATATACTGCGCCTCAGTCCCAAACAAAGTTGGGGTCAGCGATATGAATCCTCACTTCTTTCTTTAAGCTCAACTGATATCATCATCAGAGAAATATAACTACAACTAATTCAAACATTCTTGGATTGCAAGAATTGAAGTGTGTGCTCACCACGAATATGGATGTGTTATTCTTTAAAAGCTCTTCAAAGTGCTGCTGGATCTTCCCCCCATCTGGACCAGCTTCCTGAAAGCAAATGAAGCTTGCTTGGTGTTTTAAGTCTTTAGCAGTAAATTAGTATAAAATTTATAAATTAGACTTCTAAATTATGTAAAATCTACTAACAATGGTATCAAATGTTCAGATAGCAATTAGTCAATACTGTTGCAGTTACAATTTGATGGTTTGCAAAATTTCAGAGTAAAGGAATTAGTGCCACTGACATGCCACTATCCAGATTTGCAATGTAATAAGAACAGGAATCATGACTTTGATATCTCTTTTCATTTGACAGACAAGGAGGCCAGGGAAACGGTCTGATAGACCCCCATTTTCCTTTACAATTCATCTTTCTTTTCATTGAAAATTTATCCAACTAATACATGAGCATTACCCATATAAATTCACGACAATGACTTGCACTTTTCATGACTCATTTCCTGTTGATCAAAGAAAAGGAAAATATAGCAACTTCTTACCTTCAGAACCGATATTATCATGTCATAGTTGTTTATAAGGAATACGGTTTGCTGCTTATGTTTAGCGAACATTTGTGCTAGCTTGACAAGCAAGTCATCAACAGCCATTCTGAGTCTCTCCAGATTCAGTTCAAGCTACAAAAATTAGCAGCCAGCATGAAAGCCAGTTTGGTGCAAGCAAGTAAACCATGAGGTAAAAAGTGGACCTTCATGTTCTCCAACCTGCCCATCTCCATATTCTATGTTAAGGTGAATAAGGGAGGCAGTAAACTCAGCATAGCGCCTTATGACATAATGTGGGTGAACATCATCTTCCCAGAGAGTCCTGATATTGGCATTTCGCAGGCTGTTGAGGTGCAAGTCAAAGACCATCTTGAAACGTGGCCATAAAGCAATATTGACCTGCCCAGATTCATTAAGAAACAAGTGGAAAGCAGTCCATTGTAAAGGCAAGATAACTACGAGAAAACATTTTATCTTTAATTTTCTTTTGGTCCCAACATCATGTTAAACTTTCTAAAAGACCTTAAGGAGTTGTGGTACATTTATATTCACCTTTTTTAACCTTTCTAGAATTATGAATCCTAATTCCTTCTTCCTCGTTTTAAAATGGTCCACCTGACCATATTCTATCAGTAAGCTGTTTAATTTTCTCGTTTTACTGATGCTATGTAGTCCTGCCAAACACCATGAGTCCCAAGATGAGACTTTATACCCCAAATTCATAATATTATATACTTTCAGCACATGAAATCCTGCATGTCCCAGCTATGCTTGTGCAATTATTCTTTTTCCACATCACGGTAATAACAAATGGGAAACAACACAAGGACAAACATCACCCCAACAGAAGGCAACAGGTGAAAAATAAGTACCTGATGAAATTAACAACTGCCAAAAAGTTTGTTTAGACACAAGTATCCCACATGCATGTGTAATCAGCATTGATGCTGGTGACTTAGGTGGTAAAGGGAATTAGATGATACATACCTTGTCTAAGTATGAATCCAGGCATGGAATTCGGCGTCTGGACATTACAAGCTGGAAAATAAAAGCAGTCCTTTGATAAGAAAAGATTCCAGCAATAATTAAGAGCCAAAAAGGACACACATTTGCTTTCAAGTTCATAAACACGATTTGGCATGCTATAGGACCATCATACACGTGCATTAAGCACAAGATTCCTCAATGAATTTTCTAATGAGACAAATATTTCTATAAGCTTTAAATAAACGGAAAAATGTAAAAAAGAATATCTGACATATTTCATTTGCTTTTTATCAAAAAGAAAAAAAGAAAGAGAAAAATGTAATAGAAGAGGACTGAGGTAAAATTGGTGCTTATTGCTAAATTGTGAAAGATCGGTCATCAAAAGGTCCAATGTATAGCCCATCACGAATGATATTTGAAATTCCCAACTAAAGATTTTGGGAGAATTCACATTGTACGATTCAGAAAGTAGATATCTCTGCTTCCACAGTCTATTTAAACATAGAATTTCCAGAAAGAGGATTATACAATACACGCTTAGAATGATTCCTACTAAGCAAATGCATTAAAAACACAAAAGCAGGATTTCTGCTATCATCAAATGCATTTAAAACGTAGGAAAGGAAGTTTTAAAAAGTAAGGGCCTCTATATAATGGATTATTTCACCGCATGCAATTAGTATCTCTGATAAATCAATTTCATCAGTAACAGTCATTGTTTAGTTATCATATGAGAAAACCAATTTTCGAACTTAAGCCCACATATTTCAGTGATAAGCTTTTAAATGATTATTCAATAATGTTAATTTGTTTGTAGTAAGGACAACTTTACAGTGAAAAGCCAGGAGGTGTTAGATTCTGGTGCCAATTATTGAAGATAGACAGACAACAACAACAACAACAACAACAACAACCCAGTAAAATCCCACAGGTGAGGGGTCTGGGGAGGGTAGTGTATACGCAGACCTTACCCCTACCCCGATGGAATAGAGAGGTTGTTTCCGATAGGCCCTCGGCTCAAGAAAACGAACAAGACGAACAAGACAAAAAGAGACAATATATCAGTACCGTCAACAGAAACCATAGAAATAATAACATCATCATAAGAAGTTAAGAACCAGAAAATAGATGAAACACAATAATAATAACCAGTAAATAAGGCCCGGTGCTATGAAAAACGGACGGATAGTGTGAACACAACATTAAGCCCTAACAGCCTAAGACAAACCCTATCAGACTAGCCTTACACCCGATACAAGAAGAAAAATGCTCAACTACCTCCTAACCCACAACCCTAATGCTCGACCTCCACACCTTCCTATCAAGGGCCATGACCTCGGAAATTTAAAGGCGCGTCATGTCCTGCCTGATCACCTCTCCCCAATACTTCTTAGGCCGCTCGCTACCTCTTCTCGTACCCGCCAAAGTCAACCGCTCACACCTTACCAGGGCATCAAGGCTTCTCCTCAGCACATGCCCGAACCATCTGAGCCTCGCTTCCCGCATCTTGTCATCTATAGGAGCCACGCCCACCTTCTCCCGAATATCTTCATTCCTAATCTTATCCAGCCTAGTGTGCCCACACATCCACCTCAACATCCTCATTTCTGCTACTCTCGTCTTCTGTATATGTGAGTTCTTAACCGGCACCCCATAAAACATGGCCAGTCTAACCACCGCTCTATAAAACTTACCTTTGAGTATTAATGGCACTTTCTTGTCACACAAGACACCAGATGCTAACCTCCATTTCATCCGTCCCACCCCTATACGGTGTGTGACGTCCTCGTCGATCTCTCCGTCCTCCTAAATAACCGACCCAATGTACTTGAAACTGCCTCTCTCGGGGATGACCTGTGATCCAAGCCTCACGTCCATGCCCACTTCCCTCGACTCGGCACTGAACTTGCACTCCATGTATTCTGTCTTGAAGATACACAGACACCTGGTGATTAAGCTTGAGTACATTGCACTCCAATTGGCTACACACAATGACAGAACAGTTGTTTGTTTGTCTTCCAAAGGACATCAAAACACAATGATCAAGAGAATCTTGGAACTTCACCAGACACAAATTTCCCCTTTAGATGATTTCAATTCCTCTGATGCATTATAGGATTTTAATACTAGCTGCATTTATTCTGAAAAGTAATACCAGAATAGAAGCTTAGGAATATACCTGGTGGTGGTATATGATGCGAATCATGAGCATTAAGCCAATTGCATCAAAACTATTGGGAAGGATTGTACCGAAATGCTCATCAATTACTGAAAATGGGCCTGATATCATACAAATGTTTATCATTAATCTCGTTGAAAATCCAAGAATTTGCATTATTCCTATCAAGTTAGCAAGTGCAGATTTCAGCATGTACTGAAGGTCTTTGAGAATTATTATAATACAGACTGAGAGAGGGAGATCTCAACTTAATGTAACAGATTAAAGGTAACATGAGATATAATTGATAATCCGAAGAACTGCATATACAGCTACTGCTAAACAGGCTGATCTGGAGTTGAGAAGAAACTTTTGAAATCTGAGTTTTATTTTACATATAATTCTCTAAGAAGCACAACTGATATTATCTGCAGCAAGGTGCATGACAAGGATATGTTTACTCTAACTCACTACCTCCCGTACCAGCAAATATATCATAAAACATGGTCTGCTCTCCAAAGAAATCATCACAGAAAAGGTACCTAATCAAATAAAACAAAAAAGCAAGTTAAACATATTTAAAAGGAATGCTACCACTCTTTTATCAGTAGGAAAGTTATACTGTTTCAAAGTGAGTTACAAATCAGAAGCTTGGAATTCAAATAGAGAATATTGTAGAGTACTCCGAAGAAGCAGTATCCATGAGCAGCTTGTGCAAACTCCTGAAAAGGACCTCATACGGATATTTTTTTGAGCTGGCTTCAGCGATATGTGGAATTAATGGAGGCTCTTCAATCTCCTGAAGTGGAAAGTATATACCGTAAATACTTCATCTAATCATCATGAACAATCCTACCAATGGGGTGGACTGGACCAAATCAAGAGTTAATAGAAAACTGAATATGTACATAGTTGATTATTACAATAGATAATTCTACCACTTTTACTTGCAGTTGTCTTTTCAGTGCTAGCTGAACATAAGTAGCAGCCTTTGTGCAACACCCAAAAAGCCTTGGTATAATGGGATTATTTGGACTGTTCACAACCTCTAGCAGATGGCTTCAATTTGATACTAAAAGAACCAATTTCACCAAATAGTGCTGAATTTTCCTTTTTTAGAATGGCTCCGTGGATGCAGGGTAAGGCTGCGTACGATAGACCTTGTGGTTCGGCCCTTCCCCGGACCCCGCGCATAGCGGGAGCTTAGTGCACCGGGCTGTCCTTACCCCTTAGAATGGCTCCATGACTAATCTATTGAAATCTAGTAGCTCAGGCTTTGTACCTTTTGATTATAGTGTGGTACTGAAGGATACTTTATTTGTTTCCACATATCACCAGGTGTTTATGGAAGTATAGAGCAAGTTCTTCTAGTAATATGTTGCATATATTCAATCGCCTTGAAACTTGGACCAATAGATTCAAAATGGATCATAGATGCAGGTCTTGGATGATCTTAATCTAAACAGGTTTTACCCAGGCAAAACTTTGTATAGAATGGTACCAAGTAATGAACCTAGATGCAACTCATATGGTTCTTGGAGCTTAATTTTCCCTAGTATTCATAGAACATTTGAAAGAGAACTTCCTCCCTAACAAGAAAAACTAATACTTAAAATATGATTTTTTTCATAAGCAAAATAAATAAAAGATGGCATTCTACAGAAAAATCCCAAGAACCAAAGCAGCATAGAATATATGATTTTCAGCAGTCATTAGATAGGTTCCTTCACTTACACGAGATTCACATTATCTCCATTACGTATCCGCTATATAAAAGGAGCTAAGACCATACGGGTCTGAAGCTAACATTGATGAATTGGTCAGCAGACATATATATATTCACTCCACTATCAGGCAGTCCATCCTCTAAACGCACTAATTCAAAGTTATCTTCAAACTAAAAAGTAATTCTATCAAAGTGAAATTTGCAGATACCTTTATAACTGAACAAGCTAAAGCACACTAACATTCGATTCACAATCCCAGCACTCCGCAGAATTCTAAAGTGACAAAATTTTTTGGTCATAAGATCAAGGCTCTAAGAAAGAAGATAAGACCTTGAGAATGTTTATCCTTTTTCCAAGAGCAAAAACTGCAGACCTGTTCTTCAATGGTTCTCTTCCTCTCAAGAAAAGACCTGTGCTTCTGGTCTCAACACCTATCAGATCATTAGATGTTGCTATATCCAACTGAAGCTTTTCTAAAGCTTGAATATAAGCGCGGAACTGTGCACTCAGAACCTGTGATAAAAAAATTCGCTTTAGTATTCATGAAAGAACACAACCTCTTGTTAACCAAAAAGCATATTATGTCTCTTATCACTTGTACATGTGATAACTGTGATTGATAACATTCTCTAGAGCTTAGAGGATGAAAAGGAAGCTCCGGTTTTTTTTTTGAGAAGGATAAAGGAAGCTCCGGTTTTAAATATAACAATATATTAGAGCAACTCTCGAGAGACATCAGGTGTTGTACCCTCTTCCTTACACCATGGAGAAACAATTACAACTCATAAACAAAACATTTAATGCCTTCAAGGATGGGCGCCAAAGGAATAGTCAATTTAAGCACTCATGGACCTTAAGGATATTAAATCTCTTTCTGAACTTGCAAGTCAAGAGCTACCACATTGATCTCATGAGTTAGACACCTAGGAAATTAAAAGCATTGACTTTTGATTCATCAATCAACTAAGCTGGCAAAATTATCCAAAGTGAATTAATAATGTAAAACTTAACCTTGTTCATTGTGTCAGTGTATGCAGCTCGAACCTCAAGATACACCTCCTTGCCATGCTCCTTGAGAAAGGAAAGGATATACCTGTGAAAGTAATTGCAAAGATAACTTTTAAATCCAGGAAATTCAAAGGTGAAAAGGAAATTGGAAAGAAGCTTTGAGGCTGATGATAATCAAAATTTTAAGTTAGGGACCTCTTAAGAAGAACTCATCCTGCTTGAAATCATTTAGGTGGAACAAAATAGCAATAAAAGGTATTACCCCCAAAACTCCAAGATTGCCATAAATTTGGCTTTCGTTTGTACATAGTTTTTAGATTTTTTCTAAGTTTTTGAAGAACCTGCCTTGTCTTTAAAAAAGAAAAACCTCTTTGTTTAAGTTTTCTCCCAAACAGCTTTTTCAAGTTCTTCCAAATAAATTTTCTGTGAAGAATAACAATGAAGCATCTTCCCTTAAAGAATTCTTCTTCCACGTACAAAACATTTACAGATTTTCAGCACTCACAAAACCACAACTCTTCAACCATGTCTTCTTCTTGCACATACTTTTTCTACAATTTCTTTTCCAAAAAGACGGCTAAGAAAAAAAACGAAAGAGGTTTCCCAAGTGCCAAAATTTCGATGTCATTGTAAGGTTAAAGTAAATTTGTTCGGAGATTCTCTAATGTCCTGACAGCTGACAAGAAAATAGTAGCTAAACAAAACAGAACTGCAGTTAGGAGCACGAAAGACCAAGCAAAAAATGCTGCTATCTATGTTATGTTTAACACAAAAGGTTATATCGAGGGTTCTTCATGGATGCAGTCATTCAAGTGAATTGTAGAGAAGCAAATGTGTTGTGAACAAACAAATAAGCTAGTTTTCAGTAGTCAGGAAGAGAGTAATGAGCGATGCAGTATATGATAGAAACCAGAAGAAGACGCAACTCACTTATATTTTAGAAGGACACTCTGCTGAAGGATCTGAATATTAGTTTTGGGTTTCCTTAAAGAGTATAGCTTCTGAACCATGAAATCAAACACCTAGAAGAGGAACGGGAAAGTGGATTAGATGAGACATAACTGAAATGCAACAGAGGTGTAACAGTTAGGAAAAGTGGAGAAACGTGCTTGAGAGACTAAGCCAGACAAGGAGGTTCACATAAACAGAAGGCAGCAACGAAAATTACACACAGCTAAGGCTGATACAAAATTCAGAACATGATGGAAAAATGTCTCAAATCTTGATACAAGTAAGAGTCTGTAGAATTAAACTGGGGGTTACTCATTCAACAGTGAAAGGCAGTGTTAATTTCAACACCAACACAAGCCATCCCAACCACCCAATGAAAGGCAATGTTAAAGCAAGCATATATTTCTAGTAGCAGTGGACACAGCCTGATATGTAGGTTGGAACAGATGCTAGGTTTGCATCCCAATTTCATTGTTTCATCCCAAATTGTATTGTTTCTAACACGACTGGACATAGCCTGCTTATTCCAAATGATGTGCTAGGTAGGCATCCCAATTCATCTGTCTCATCCCTACTTAAATAACATTGTTGAATTTAGGAACATTGTCGAATAACAGGAATCACTATTGCATCCTAAACCATCTCAAAATCCACTTGACATGGTTTCCACAGACAAAAGTCAGGATAATGAAATCACAAGAGTGTTCGAGCACTGCATTGAGCAATACCACAGACATTCATGTGTTGGTTAAGCTATCTACAAGGTTTGTGTTTGAACCCAAATGCTCCAATCAAATGGTAAAGTCAAACCTAAACGTGCTTAGACTATTCGGCATATACATACCTTGGAGACCGCTTTCTGCCTAAGTCTTTCTAGTTCAGGCCGAACATCTTTCAGAGCCTTTGATGTTTTAACCATGAGATCTGCATCTGAGTACTTCAGCTTTTTACTCAAAATCTCTAGGGTCCTCATGTATTCCTCATTAACCTATAAACATCAGTGTTGCATGGCAGGTTAGAAGTCAAGAGTGAACAAGGCATTTAAATATGAAATATTTGAAAATTAAACATCTGACAGAATTATGTCTACATGCTATCCAATAGCGAAAGGTCAATGCTTGGTAAGAGAAGGGAAAAAGAGATAATGCATAATAATTGCCCTGGTTCAGAAGAGAAGAGCTGGTGAATAACTAGAAGAAACTTTCCAAATAAAGCCCCATAATCAAATGTAGTACCAGCAGAGCCAAGACCAAAAATGAAATGAGGGGGGAAAATAGCAAAAGAAGGGAGAAGGAGAAAGCCTGTCCAGTGTTAACAGTCAACTACCAAAAAAGGAGAGTGTTTTATTGTAAGATTCGTACGCCAGGAGGGAGAAATGATGAAAAGAAGGGAGAAGCAAAGTCCAGCATTAACAGTCTACAACAGAAAAGAAGAGTTTTCTAATGTAACTCGATAAATTCATTAGCTATAAACCATAAAAAATTAGATATAATAATCACTTTGAGAAAGAAAAAATAATAATAAACCAAGCTACTACACTGTCTGTTGCCCCAACATGTCACATCATTGACTCACTATTGGATACAATGTCAGAATAAATAGACGAACAAATTAAAGAACCAAAAGTACCTCTCCATCAACAATTATGCCTATCATCCTTGGAGGAACAATAATATCCTCGACAAACTTTGCTAGCTTTGACTCTGCCACCTGCAAAACAACATAACCATTTAGCAAGTACACTACAAACATCAGAAAGTATCAAACACTAGGACTCAGATATGGTTGTCATATCAAGTATACTGGACACCACAGCATGACTAATTTGCACTAGCATCCATCTGATAAGTCTAAGAAGAGGTATATCATGAGGAAACATAAGGAAGAAGTGAAGTTTCTGAGAGATTAAATTGAAATACTTTTTTGATAAGTAACTTTAAAACATTTTATTGGAACTACCAATTGCGCTACGGCTGTGCTGAAGAAGCTTTACAAACAGTGCAAGGCACTGATCAGATCAATGATATCATCCATATCTTTTACAAAAGAATGTCTGCACCAAAAATCTAACAAAAGGATGGTTCTATTCTTAAGGCTGAAACTCGCAGTAAATTATTGTCAACATAACTGTGAACTAATTTTAGAGTCTTTCAGAAGCTCATGCAATAAAATAGACAACAGTAAAATAGGCAATGGCATTCAACAAAATAAACGAAGGACACATGCGATGATCCAAACACTAACAATAACAACGCCTACGAAGACGACAACAGCAACAGCAAGAATTTATGCTTTCATCTATTCATTGTCCTTAAACTAGGCACCTCCAGGGGGTAACGATCATTGCCAAAAAGTACTAGAAGATATGAGAATTCTATTAATCTATATAAGGATGATCAACCAAGGTTTTTCTGTTTCCTTGGGGGTGTTGATGCCTTTTGAGAAAATATATATAGACAGAAATGGAAAAAATAAATAGACGGACATTGCCATCCCTAACAGCTAAAAGGACATTAAAACCAAGGACTAACTTAGGATGATTTCTTTACTCTGGCATTACTACTATAGCACGTAAATATTGTAGCTTTTATACACTGAAACACAACTTTTGGTCATTAAATCTTTCGGGCAAATCGATAGGATTATCCTGAAAAATCCAGTTTACTCTGCAAGCAGAATAAGGAGAAACAAAAGTGCAACTACTCATGCAACTTGCAAAACAGCATTTCTACTGTTTGGTAAAGACCAACATACAAGATGTATACAGTAAGTAGCAAAACCTACAAAGAAATGTGATTCTCCATAAAGAGTATTCAATCATCCACACCTGTTGGAATATTACATATGCTCCAGAAATGTATCAAAATAAAAATATTCTTCTGATTTCTACATAGGAGATTTCAGCTCCTTCAAATACGTTTCTGTTCCTCTTTTTCCATATCGTCTATGTTAGTAAAAGAGCACAACCATCCATGACCCATTACTCATGAGGTCTTTTACAGAAAGTAATGTAAAAAGTAAAGCAGATAAATGAAATGGTCAATACTGTTAGAATAGTTATGTAAATAAAAGTAAATAACCCTAATCCCATATGTATTAGGAGTAGAACATGTTATGTATATATATATATAGGGCTCATTGTATCGTGTTTTACACAAGAGAATAATATCAATCATAGATTTTTCTCCCGTGCATTCTCATACACGTTCAGACCAGATAATAACTTCTTCACACATGAAACACAGTTAGTACACACTTTATTCATTTATACTGATAATTTCTTCACATACGAACATTAAAATACATTTCAATAACAGTCGTCAGTATGAACATTGCTTAGTATGAACATTGCTTCTGAATCAGAAGATAGCATTATCTACAGATGTAACTTACATTTAACCAAATAAAGGAAGCTCAAGCCTAGACTGTAAACAGTAAAAGAAGCTCCATCCTTTAACAATAATACCTTGCGATTCTTCAGCCTCAGTCCCATATCCATAGACTTCTCTTGGAGAATTTTGATATCTGAACTTATAGAACCTATCTCTCCCTGGCAGATAAAACAGTGAATATCAAGTTTAATGACAAAAGATATAGGCAACTAGACCTTTAAGATGTTATGTCGTTTTCCTTTAATTTCTTCCATTTTCTTCTTTGTTTGGTGAGTGAAGTCAGAGACAAAGAAATCCTGTTAGAGGTTTTGCCTCAAAACTAAACCGAAAATCCCAGCATGTGAACATGAATGATATTATAGAAAATATTACTAAAGGTGACACTGGCAAAAATTGTCACCCACTTTAACATGATATTGACGGAAAGTACCTGAAATCCACTGAGAAGAGTCTCCATTTGGGTAAGAATCAAGTCGCAATCACGAATTTGATCATGAAGTGAGACTAGATTATCACTTTCCTTTATGTAATCCTATTAATTTTACGAAAGAGCACATATCATAATAATGTCATCATAACCAAGTTTACAAGGCACTTAAAGAAAACTAGCACATAAGTATGAAATAATCGATCATCATTATAACCCAAGTTCATTAGGCTTCACATGATTTTGTGTTGTGACAACTAGATTTATTGCCTCGTTTTCTGAAAGAAATATAACTTTTGACTAAGGATATACAGAAAACTCTAAACTGTAGTGCACGGACATTAAGGAAGAATTGTTATGATTGGAAAATAAGCAGTCTATTGAATCAGCTTAGTAATTGCGAAGAAAAGGAATGGTTGAGAGACAGAAATAGTTCTCCATTTTGGTTACACGATAGAAGAGGCATATGCTCTGTGAAATCAGGGTACAGAACAAAGTACCACCTAGAGTTGTATGCTTTGAATGGATTGCAGTGAAATGATGCATGCCTAACCCAAGAAAATTTATTAAAAAGATGTTTTGTGCTATGCAATAGATACTATTCCCGTCAAAGAAACAGGAAAGTGGCTGCCATTTATTTCTACATTGTCCACTGGCATGGGAGATATGCAGCATGTTTCTGAGTCTATTCAACATCCTTGGCCAACTCATGGTAATGTGAAGGAGGTGCTATGCTGTTGGAGAGTGTGCAGAAGAGTAAAAGAAAGCTTTGGTATTCAATTCCTTTCTGATTTATTTGAGTGATGTGAAAAGAAAGAAATAGGAGATGCTTCAAGTCAAACAGAGTAAAGTTGTGACATCTCAGTTCAGATCCAGCTGCATATACTTTTTGTCTTTGGGGTGTGTACCGCAAATAACCAGAGAAGTAACTAGATTTATTGATTCACTACACAGCTAAACAAGGAAGCCTTCGTATTTGTAAATACTTTTGTTATTAGCACTCACTGGGTACTAAGTTGAATGAAAATATCTTACCTTTCTTTCAAAAATTAGAAAATAAATAAAGATTCAGAAAGCAAAATGCATGATATACCTAAATATCAAAAGCTGGAACAACTCGAAATCCCAAGTTACCAATACAGACAGAACAATGATAATGAATTAGTACAGCAAACCTGGATAGAATCCAATTCAACTTGCCGCAAATTGTTTTCAACGCCTTTAGTGTATTCCCGCAGCGTTGTACCTTTAGAAAGTATGTTTGCGACAACCTTTGTATTGAAATAAGCCAAATTTAGACTCATCATTAGTGTCCCTCAAAGGGGATAAAACTGGACCAAATTGTAACAAATATCGATCTTTAATTGAAATATATTCAGCTGTTACTATGAGTATAGTGAAATAAATACGATATCCTTACATCATCAGTTTTACATTCCTGTAACTCTTCCTCAAGCCCCTCAAGGGATATATCAGCGCTGGAAAGAAAGAAGAGAAAGGTCCTGAATTTCTTCATATATAGAAGATCGAGAATGAAAAACAAACAAGCATTATAGCACAATTAGCAAAATGAGGCCAGGAAATGAAACCACACCTGGCAGTTTCATCCTCAATATTCAAATCGCCAACAAAGGATCCCAAATCAAAGAAAGATTTCTGCCCATTATTCGCATTGGCCTAAATTCACAGATGTAAGGCAACACAAGGAAGGATATGAAAATGTGCACAAACTAAAACATGAAACTTTCTGGGAAATGAGAAAAACAAGTGTTTACCGATGTGTTGCCAGCCACCTCCGCCATAGCAACTTGAGCAAACCAACAACTTTTTACAGCGTACAGCTATCTAAGAGTGAGCCAGATCAAGCATTTCTATATTATTACCTTTTTTAAATAAGGATCAAGCATTTCTATATTACGAATTGAACCACACAACAAGAAGATTCTCTAAAACCTGCTTTGTGATGCTGTCTTGGTAATAATCTAGGGATGGTCTTTAGAGTTCAACGACTATGTTCCGACTTCCTTATGGCCAGAAAGGATACAAGCTTTACTGCATGCACTACAAATATATTGAATGTTAAACAGGTGATTTTGTCAACAACACCCTGGAATACAATTCATCAATTCAGGGTAATAATAAAAATAATATTAATAATAAATAATAATAATAATAATAAATTATTTTTTTGAGAAGGAAATAATAATAATAAATTATTATTGATCTGTCTTGTATACATACATTCAACTTACCCAAAATAAACTAAGCGTGTTAGAATGGATAGTTAATATATTTTTTATTGAAAACTTATAGCAACTTGCATAATGCACTTTGCAGCAAGAAATTATTTGGTTATTTGGTGCTAGGTAACAAAAATATATTAGGTGTAAATCTCATGGGGTTAAATATTACTGATGTAAATAGAGATTAGAGAACATTTCTTTTGATAAGTAATGTGAAATTTTATAGAAGATAGCCAGCCAGAAAGATATGCTGCTTCAAAAGTTACATCCTGAACACAACATTACAGAGTGTAACGAGCTAACAAAACCAACAATGGGGATGGTATCATTCACATCATCATTAGCCATGTCATACCAAAATCTAAGCAAAGATATACATATAAACATAATAATGACAAAATTATCTTTGAAGTTCTCAATCTCCGAGTGTTGTTTTCTTTCCAAGTTGTCCACCAAACTACAGCTTGGTGTTCCAAATGGACTGAGACTAAAGTTGCATAAGTCATGGAGAGAGAGATATTTGCCATTTAGGTGATTCCAACTAGTACTGCTATGTACAGAATCAGCAAAATCATTAATATTAGATAAGCACATGCAAACCAACTAAAATATCTAACAAATTCAGGATCCCATATCAAAATTAATAATTAAACATAGAGCACTAAGACCCTATTAATATTCATTTAAATACAAAAGGCATCATAACCACATCCTCATTGATAACTAATAGCTTGTTTGGCCAAGCTTTTGGGAAGCCAAAAGCACTTTTCTTAAATAAAAATAAGGGCACCTTTTTGGAATTTGAGGTGTGTGGTGAAAAAGGGAAAAGTGCTTTGAGCAGCAAAAGCAATTTTTCTGTTGCGGGGGTGAAGATACAAATAAGCTACATTAAGAAAATTACTAATTTTAAGTACATGCATTCCTCAAGATATATCTTTCTAGAAAGGACCTAAGGGGTAGTGTGGTTGGGAAAAAAGTTATCCTAGGATTAATTATCCCGGGATTAGTTATCCTGGAAATGTTATGCCAGGTAAAAATAACACTACAATCCCGGGATTAGTTATACCGTGATTTAATCCCAATCAAACGTGGGATAAACTCATTTCAAATTTAATCCCGACATTAATTATCCCTTATCCTTCATACCAAACGAGCCCTAAGGCTCATAATTAGTACTATTGATTTAGGCCAATAACCCCCAGACTCTTGCTCTGGAATGGCATGATCATGGAGGAATTGTATATGCATTAAGACAGTACTTGTAGTTGCCAAAAATAACATGTGCTACACTCACTGCCCCGAACTACATGTTTCCATCACGAGAATTGACGCCCGTCTCTGACTCCCTATACGGTCCATCTTTGGACGACCAACTCCTGGAACAAGCGACCTAATAGGAACGTCACAAACCATCGAACTCCACGATCACACAACCGTTTCCAGACGAGGCATAAACGACCTTCTGCGGCGTGGGGCACAATTTCCACGTGTCCAACCCACGATAACGCCCATTTAACCCCACTGATCGAGTCATGGGGATAAGGTTGAGTGTCCTGCCGACTCCTCAATTAGCAACCCACTTCTCCTCATTCCTCAATGAGACTCAAATTGGATTTGGAGTCCAAGAGACCAAGGTCCTATAAGTAGGATGGCTCTCGAACGAAGGAGGGACTTCCAGTTACGAACTATCCACTCTCACAAGACAACCAGACTTTATCATTATACTTTTGTATTTTCTGACATTTTCTTTATAATTAAGCTTTCTAGAATTAATTTGATCCTAGGCTATTCAAAAGAAGCCTTGTACGATCATGGATATGGAGTTCTAAGAAAATCATACACTCGCTCTCTCTCTAATTTACTTGTCTTTGTTGTTTGTCATTTCAATCTTCCCTCCACAGTATCCTTTTGAAAGTCGGACAATTCAAAGCACCACCTTTATCCAAGCAAGGCTAACCCCCTTTAACATTATGAAACGATCCCGTTTAACATAAAAATATAAGAACAGAAAACAGAAGTCTTGTTTCTGATAATGTAGAACAGATGCATCTCAAAGCAAACAAATCATAATAAATCCACAGTATACAACAGCTTCAAAACCACAAGACCTATTGTAGAGATCAGTACGCTACACGTAAATCATCCAAAAAAGAAATGTAGAAGAAGAGACCTACCTGATAGTGATGAAGAGCCAAAAAGAGATCTAAAGTTTTGGAATTGGGATTTGGGACTATATATCTTCAGCTTTGGGCTTAAATTTCTCCTCTAATGTCTAGTCTCTCTGAATAAGGAAAAAGGTTGTGATTTAGGCCACAAAAGGGAGAGAAATAATTTGGAGGGAGTTGCAGACAAAGAAAATCTAATTATTTAAGATCTTAAATTACTCAATGTATACTGGTAGCTACCTTTAATTCTGTTATTTACTTTTGAAATATATCTATAATTTAAAATATATTTAAAACTTCATGACTAATATGTTGAATTTTTATATCCTAAATTTTTGAACTGCTAATTTAAAAATCAAGACTATTGTCTTGAATTTCTTAACTGCTAATTTAAAATTTAGGACATAAAATTCAACTTTTTTGAGAGGTTCAAACTTCGCGACGTCGTGTCCTGAAGTTTGAGCAAATTGAATAATCTATAAATGCATTATAAATTGTGAATAAATTTTAAACAGCATGCTTAAAAATGACATTCATTTCCACTCCTGTAATGTGACTCAGCTGCATCTAATACCCATTTTGCTACATTGTCACCCCCCTTATATAATGAAAATCGAAGACAATTATAACGGTGCTATCCATATTTTCATAATCAAATACTTAAATTCCCTATATAATAAAAAATAAAATCTTACATAAAGAACTTTCATTTAAGTAACGAAATTTATTATTTGAAGCAAAATAATAAAAAAAAGGGTTTTTATAAATTATATATTATATTCTTAAACAATACAAGTAGCTTATATGTTTCAAAATGCAAGAAAATTGTTAATTGTTGATAATGTCTTATAAAGTAAATTGTGGACATTTCCTTTTTTAGAGTTCGGAAAACACATGTGTCAGAAAATATTTATTCTATTTTTCTATTACATGTATGAATAAAAATATTAACTCTATTTCTTAAATTTCATAAAGTTAAAAAATCAAAAATTGTTATTTGTAATTTTAATTTGTCTTCTAGTTATTCCACTTTATTGTACTTACCTATGGATAACATGACTTTTTTAAAAATTCGAGTTAGAAGGTGTATACGGGTAAAACATGTCACGCCCCAAATCTAGGGAGGCATGGTTGGCACCCGGTGTCGTGCTAGCCTGAGCGAACCACTCTGTAACTCATGATCGTTCGACTAAAACTAGAACATACATAGGTCGAGTTTGCTGAACCCATTCCTTTTGTAACTATCATGGGCCAACATGGCCACAACTCATAATGTACAACTGTAAGTGGGCAAACACTGTATCAGCAAACCATCGTACTTAACATATGAATACATATGGGCCGTCACGGCCTCTGACATACTGTACATAATGAACATGTGTCTACAAAGCCTAAGAGTATTTGACATCAAAACATGGTCAGGACAGGGACCCGGCCTACCCATAAGTCTGTAGCAAAATTCTGACACGATGACTTACAGACTCGGCTGCACTCCGAATGAAATGGAGTTTTACCGATCATTCGATGAATGTTAACCTCGTCTACTATGAGGGTTCGTCAAATTGATTATCTATACCTGCAGGCATGAATGCAGCGTCCACAACAAAAGGACGTCAGTACGAATAATGTACCGAGTATGTAAGGCATGTAAATTATTATATAAAGAATGTGAAAGAAATATGGAGTAAGGGACTCAACTTGTAAGTCTGGATAGCTCTGTAAATCATGAAATATCTATAATGTCATGCATATGTGTATAAATGTCATATGATGCATAGGTATATGCGTACATAACATCATCAAGCCTCTAAGGGCATCCCATCATATCATCTCGGCCACTGTGGGCAAAATCATCAATGTATACCAGCTATTCAGGTGGTGGTGTGTATATAAAGTTGTAACATTTTCCCATATCCCATATAAATATAATATATGCGTATATAATGTCATCTGGTCATGGGTCAATGTACTTCTATAAATGAATACAATGCATAATGAAGTAAGACACTAAGATCTCTCGGAATGTCATAAGATCAATATACCTTCGATTAATATCATGACATAAACTTTGTCAACTTACGTATTTTCTGAGACCCATGAGCAACTGATATAATAATAGTACACATGGAAAATCAAGAACATAGACGATAAGTAGGGATTTTGACTACTTATTTGCACTCTTTTACGTTCGTTTTAGCTCAAAATTGCTTAAAGGTATTCCTGAAAACTAATGAAATGTGCTTTCTTGCAGGAGTATTGGAACATGAGCTATAGATATGAAAATCAACTCGAGAAGGAGTAGTTTTGGACAAGGACCAAAACAAGGCTAAAAGGGCAAAATGCGGACCGCACAATATTGAGTGCGGCCGCAGAACATGAGGCAGCCTCTGACAGAATCCCCATGCAAAATGCGGACCACACCATCATTGTGCGACCACATAATCAAGAGAGCGGTCGCACTCAGAAATGTGCGGTCCTCAGAAGTTCCCCATGCCAAATCTCAAGGTCAAGAAGTGCGGACCGCACCATTATTGTGCGGCCGCAGAATCAAGAGTGTGGAGGACCCAAAAATGTGCGGTCCGCATAAGCTGAAGAAGTGCGGCCGCAACCCAGAATTGTGCGGCCGCAGAAGTCCAACCTGTCAAGCCAAGTCTCAATGTGCGGACCGCACACATAATTGTGCGGCCGCACAACCTCCGTAGGGGAAAATTTTTCCGATAATTTTAGCTGGGTATAAATAGATCTTCTTGTCATTTTTAGGTTAAGTTTGAACACCTGAACGTAGATAGTCGTTTTTCCTTTACTGCTTTGGGTAACTTTGTAATAGTTTAGCATTTTAACATTGGATTTTCTTCCCTTTATCATTTATTATGAGTTTAATCTTATTTTTCTTCTTTAGTTTCTTCAATTTTCGCTATGAGTAGCTAAATTTCTAGCTAAGGTTGTGACACAACCCTAGTGTGAGTATCTAATGGGTGTTTGATTTGGGGCTTTTTTGTAACTGGGTTTGTGATATTTAGCCTAGTTCTTGCTTGAATTTAAGAATTAATGGTTGCAAATATTGAATCATGCCTAATTGACTTAGTTTCTACTTGAGAAAAAGAGACTAAGTCTATGAAAACTTGACTAACAAGGAATTGGGGTGAACTCAAGAAATTGATAGCCCCAATTAAAAGGTTTAATCTAGAGACAGTAAGACCCGACTTGAGCATTTATCACTTGTTTTTTGCAATACCCATTTGGACTTGAGAAAGCCAAATCGGGCAAAATCACTCTAACTACCGAGAGGTATCGAGTGGGTAACTGCGTGTGATTGCTATATTACAACCCCGACCAATCAAATTTGCCCTAAAGCCTACAATACTTTAGGTAACCACCTAGGTGGAAGTGACAACCCTAAATCTTTTAAAAAGTTAAAAAACAACAACACCAAAAATATCGTTCTCTAGTTTTTCATTTGCAAGCATTATCATAATCATTAGAAGTAGAAAGAAACAACCAATCATGTGGAAGTGCATTTTGGGCACATCATACACTTAGTCTAGATATATACCTAATCCAATATAAGCTCTCTGTGGAATCGATCCCGACTCACGTTGGGTAATTATCATTGCATCGACCGCTTCACAATCCCAATTAGTGGAGTGAACTTGGGCGACATCATTTTTTGGCGCTGTTGCCGGGGAGCTAAAAATAGATTTAGCTATATATATTTGGTTTTGTGTGTGAGTTGTATTATTTTCCTTCCGGTTCCGGTTACTAATCTCTTTGTGAAACAATTGTAGGTGATACAACAACGATGATCCTCCTGGAAATGTGCCATTGGGGGAGGACGTGGATGATGACCAAGTTGATGAGGTTCCTCTTGAACCCTAAGCAAATAGACGAGGTTGCACACCTCATGACAATGTTCTCGTTCTACCCCCACCTCCTCCAAGAGCGACGACACACCGAGTGTTGCCGAATAAAGGATACGCAAGTGACATAGTCCCATCCCGCATTAGGGCGAAAAACTTTCAAATCACAAATGTTATGCTTACACTATTGGAACAACAGAGATTCTTCACAGAGGTTCCGAGTCAAAATGCATACAAGCACTTGAAAGGGTTTGTTGACACTTGCTGGGGGAGTAAACATACTAACGTCTCTGAGGATGCTTTACGGTTGAGGCTATTCCCTTTCTCTCTACGGGGGAAGGCCTTGGATTGGTTAGAAAGGTTGCCAAATCATTAGATCCATACATGGGATGAATTGGCCGAGAATTTTATTTCCAAGTTCTTTTCTCCTGGGCATGGCAAATCTTAGGGATGAGATTCTAGCTTTCAAACAAGAACCTAATGAGACTTTGCATGAGATATGGGAGAGATATCGAACAATGGTCAAAGAATACCCCAATAATAACATGACGGAGGCTATGATTCAACAAACTTCTATAGGGGGATCAACACCACCAATCAATGCGTGGTCAACCAAATTGCCGGTGGAAATTTCATGACAATGCCATATGCGGAAACTTGTGAGATCTTAGATGAAATGGTGGATACTTCATCGGCATGGAAAAGTAGAGCAAACATTCCTCAAGGTGATCTAAATGTGATTCACTTGCATAAAGACTTACATGATCATGGGCAAGCAATTGCCGAGTTGACCACCACAATGAATCAACTAGCCAAAGCTCAACTTCAACAAGTGCAAGGTCCCAAGCAAGTAATGCAATGGAGGGAGTTAATATGATGGTAAACAAGAGAAGGCAAAAGGGTACTCAAGTGCAAAATCGGATTGCAAATTATGAGCAAGATGATAGTGGATTTGATCAATATGGATAATACAATGAGCAAGAAGAGGAAGTACAATATGTGAACAACTTCCAAGGGCAAAGAAACAACAGTCAAGGCCCAAGTCAACAACAATGCCGACCACAAGGAAATCGAGGAAATTGGAATTCAAGCAATCAAGGTGGTTGGAACAATCAAAACAACCAAGGGAATTGGAACAATCAAGGCAATCAAGGAAATTGGAATGGTCAAAATAACCAAGGTAATTGGAGTGGCAATAATCAAGGCTATTGGGGAGGTAATAACCAAGGAGGTTGGAATAACAACAACAACCGGGGGTCGGGTTCTCAAAGGCCCCCGATGTTCCAACAACTGAGAAACCCGCCTCATTATCGTTCTCAAGGTCTGAGCTCTTCCAACA